GCGCAGCCGACGTCCTCCTGGATCCGTCCGATCGGGTCCCGAGCCGCGGGTCCCGCGCTTGCCGGGCGGTCGACGGGATCCTCAGTGCCACCTGTGAGGGTCTCTGTGGCGCACACTGCACTCTCTCTCGCTGGGGGGGGGTCAGTGGCCGCGGCCTCTCGGGGGTCCGTTGCCTGCCGGCAGCGTCCCCCCGTGAAACACGGGCAGGCCTCCTCCGCCCTCGTCTCGGCGTACACCGTGGGCCGCCTCGACAAGGCGTCCGCGTTTGCATGCGTCCGGCCAGCCCGATACTCGATTTGCAGGTTGTACTCCTGCAACTGCGCCAACCACCGGGCCATCTGCCCCCGCGGCTCCTTGAATGTAAGAAGAAACTGCAGAGCATAATGGTCAGTGCGTACGCGACATCTCCTGCCGTACAAATACGGCCGGAACTGTTTGCATGCGAAAATCACGGCGTACAACTCTTGGCGGGTCACGCAATAGTTCAGCTCGGCCCCACTCAAGGTCCGGCTGGCGTACGCGATGACTCGTTCTGTCCCATCCTGTACCTGTGACAACACCGCGCCCAGCCCGCTGCTGCAGGCGTCGGTGTCCAAAATAAAATCGGTGGTAAAATCGGGGAAAGCGAGGGTGGGGGCGTGGGTGAGGTGGTCTTTGAGAGTGGTGAAGGCCGTCTGGCAGGCCCCCGTCCACTGATAGGGGTGCTTAGGGGAGGTGAGTTGGGTGAGGGGGCGTGCAATCTCGCTGAATCCCTTTACAAATCGACGATAATAGGTGGCGAGCCCCAAAAATGATCTGATCTCCGTCAGATTCCTTGGCCGTGGCCACTCCACTACGGCGCGTACCTTCTCCGGATCGGTGTGCACGCCTGCCTCGCTGACGCGATGCCCGAGGTACCCCACCTCGCGTTGTGCGATGTAACACTTACGTGGCTTGAGTTTGAGATGAGCCGCTCGCAGTCGCTGGAACACCTCTCGAAGCCTGGACCAATGCTCAGACAAAGATCTACTGAACACTATCACATCGTCCAAGTAAATCAGGCACTGTTCCCACTGCAAGCCCCGCATCACCAACTCCATCAACCGCTGGAACGTCGCGGGCGCGTTAGTGAGTCCGAACGGCAACACTCAAAACTCAAACAGGCCCATCGGGGTGGTGAATGCTGTTTTTGGCCGATCCTCCTCCGTCATCTCCACCTGCCAGTAACCGGACGCCAGATCGAGGGTGGAAAAATACCGCGCTCCTGCGAGACTGTCGAAGGTGTCGTCGATGCGTGGGATGGGAAAAGCGTCGCCGAGGGTGACTGCGTTCAATTTTCGGTAATCAACGCAGAACCGAGTCGATCCGTCCTTTTTCGTTACCAGTACCACCGGGGCAGACCAAGGGCTCGCGGAGGGCTGGATTATGTTATCGCGTAGCATATCCGTGACTGCCTCTTTGATCTGGGTCCGTTCCGGCGCGCCCACTCGGTATGCGGGGAGTTTGATGGGTCGGGCTGCACCTGTGTCAATTTGGTGTTTGACCAGGTCGGTCCGGCCCACGTCCGAATCGTGCTCACTGAACACGTCGGCGTACTCCCGCAATAACCCGCGCAGCTGATCGGCCTCCCCCTTAGGTAAGGCTGCCCAAGGCACATGTAATGCATCCTGCAGTGGAACAATCTCGGCTCGGGGGGTCGGGCCGACCCGCCAGGCCAGATCCTGGCTGTCCTCGGGGCGGCCAGGGTCCTCCGCCCAGAGTGCGAACACCGAGTCGTTCGAGTGGCGAGTGTGCAGGGGGTGTACGGTGGCTACCGGGGTGCGTCGTCGTATCATTGCCGGGGTACTGTGTGGGTTAAACACACGTATAAACAGCTGGCCCCCATCTGCGTTTACCAGTGTGGCTGACCCTACCACACCGTATCGCGATGCCAACTCCGGGTGAGGAGTCAGCATTACCTCGCCCGATGGTCGGTGGGTTGGGTCGGTGGAGAGGGTTGCCACTGGCACCAGCATCTCGGTGAGAGGTCCGATGGTGACGGCCGACACCAGCGTAGCGGCCACGGGTGTGAAGCGTGGGTGATTCGGCTCCCGTCCTAGGAACGGAATCCGCTCCCCGCTGCCCTCCACCGTAGCGCATCGTTGCCGGGGCTGTACGTTAAGTCCCAACTTTTCCAGGAGGTCCGTTCCTGCAATGCACTCGTGGCACAACACACTCGACACGTAGAATTCCTGTGTGCACACCTGGTTTCCTAGACGGACCTCGAGGGAGACCTTCCCCAGCAACCCCATCCCGGCTCCGCTTGCCGTGTGCAGCGCGCGGTCCGGGGCCTGCAGGTGGCGCACGTCGACCCCGATCGCGCTGCAGTGCGCTGCACTCACGAGCGAGGCCACCGCCCCCGTGTCCAGCAGAATTCGGGTACGCACTCCGTTTACCTCCCCTTCCACCAGCGACGTGGCCCCCGTGATCCCCGCCACCAGCTCCCGCAGCCAGTCGCCAGGAGTCACCGTTTCTGTGGGCGTTGTTGCTGGAACCTGTGTGGAGATCACTCGCTCGCAATTATTCTCACAGCTTGTTTGTGTCGGGGCTACGTGGATTTCACCCCCCGGTGGTCCCCTCTCTAGGGGGGCCTTAGTGTTTGACCTTAGCTCTTGTCTAGCTCGGGCGACCTGAGGACAGTCCCTCCTGAGATGCCCTCGCCGATCGCACACATAACACGCCCGGGGAGGGGTGGCGGCTCCGTAGTGGGCTCTCTGCCCACTCCCTCCTCCCCCAGTGCGCTGCTGCTCATACTCTGCTTCTAGTCGCGCTATCCTTCCAGTTAGCCCTCCTACCGTGGAGTCTAGTTCCCCCATCTCGGATCGGATGGTCTCAACGGAGGATTGCAGTTTGGTCATATTTTTATTTGCTTCCTCGCGTACCTGAGTTACCCTCTCACCTACTTGGGTTATCATATCTCCCATGCCGGCCTGTAACCCGGCTACCCACCCCGGGGTCGTCTCGCTGGGTCTCTGTGGCTCTCTTTCCCGGCCCCTTACCGTCCTCGCGAGCTCCTGTTCCTCCTCCTCGTCTTCCGAGAGCAGGCTCGCAATGGCGCGCTCTCGTCCCAGCCCCCGGAGCTGCGCGCGTTCGCTGTGAATTCTTTCACACTTACGTGCGCGCTCGACAAGGGTGTTAAAGGGAAGACGTGGGCAGCTCATGTCTGGCTGCCACCACGCCGTGCGAGACAGGTACCGCTGGATTTTCTCAGCGGCCAGTTCCTCAATAACATCAGTTGCGTACCCCGGGCGTGCGATCTTTGTTAACTCGCGCACATCCTCGGCGTAATCACGTAGATCTTCGCCAGGTTGGCGCCGGCGCGCCTCTAAGGCCGATTTTGCTTCCTCCTCGTCACGCGTGCCAAAACGCTGATCGAGTCGGCGCATCAGCTCCTCTAGCTGTGTCTGTGCGCTCGCGGGTAACGCTTCTACAAAATCGGCTGCCCGCCCATCAAGATTCATATTAAGTTGACGTACTGCCTGCGCGTCCGTCCATCCATTAATTTCCTTGGCCCCTAAGAGATTGCGGGCGAATGCCTTCCACGAAGGGGCCCCCCGGCCGGTAAATATTAGTCTTATTTTAGCGTGAGGTAACGCGGGGGTCCGTACCGCTTCCGACACCAATTTGTGGGGGTCGCTAGCCCTCGAAATCCCTCCCTCGATAATGCTAACGGCCGGGCTAGCATCATCAATCGCCCCCCCGCTGCTAAGCGAACCGCTGCTAAGTTCCTCACCCATGGTGTGGGAGCCGTCGCCCGAGGGTTCCACTCCACCGCGGGTCCGCGTAGCAGGCATGGTTAATTACGTACGCGCACACCCACACACACAGCTCTGTACGGCACTCACTCTTGCGCTTCTCTGCGCCGCGCTGGCCGCTCACGTTACAATCGCGCACCTGGGGTACGCCGATTACGCACGCCGCGAGCTTACGCACACACAGTACCACACGCGTTCCCACACGCAACCCGCGCGCTCAGCTCCGCGCAGCGCTCACTCACGTGGCGAACCACTGTGCACACAGCGCACCCACACGCTCACACTGCACGACAAGATCACGCGAGACCACGCTTCGCTATTAATGATTTATTATATGCCACCTGCGAATTGATGTTGAATCAGTGAGTCGACGAGGCTGGCCTATTCCACTAAACCTGTACCTATTCCCTATTTATCGGCTATGATTCTAATTCCCCTTCTTACTCACTGTTAAGTGTCCACGGCGGTCCGCTGATCCTTCTGTTAACCGCGTGCCTCGGTGCGTCTCACGGACGTCCGGGTCGCTGGCTCGAGCTGCGTCTGGTCGCCTGGCGCTGGAGTAAGAGAGCGATTTCCCCTCTGCGCTCCTCTATTTATCCTCCCTACCTCCCAAAGGGGATGCTGCGCTGAACAATGGGCTCGTGCACCCCAAGCCCGCGCACGGCAGTCCCCAGGCGCTGTTAATATGCTAATCAGTGTGCTGCGTGCAAGGCGTAAATCCTAATTACTCCCTTACCCTTCCTACCAATGGGGCTTGCGCGCTCAAGCGCAATTATCCCAACCCTCCATGACTATGCGCAACAGCCCCTGTGACCCCGCTATTCATGCTGTCCCGTGCCTCCCCTGCTTGCCCCGTCGACTCGTGGGGGTGTGTGTGGGGGGAAATGCGCCTCAACCGCGGTGGCCGAATGCCCCACGCCGCGACCACACCATATTAAGGCCGGCAGCAGCGCCGCGGTACCACGTAGCACGGGGGAGGTCATCCAATTCCCTGATCGCCGGAAACCGTGAGAATTAATCCCGATAAGGGTCTCTCGGATAAAAACCGGTCGATCAGGTAACCTTCCCTTCCAGCTCTATGGGGGGGGGGGGGGGGGGGGGGGATGCGGGGGGGTGTGTGCTTATGTGGGGCGGGTGATTGGGGGCAGTGCGGTGGGGGAAGCCGGGCGGCTCCCTGGCTCGGCAGAGCGGCCCCGTCGCTGTGGCACCACAATTGACATGGCGCGCAGTCCTCACCATAGCGCGAGAGGAGGAATCGCGAGCGCGCGAGGCAAAACTTAAATAGAAAATATTTCGTTGGAATTAAATGAGTAGTATGTTGAAGCATCTTGTCTTGCAAAAAATTCGAGTGCGTTTTAAATAGTGTTCATCAGTAACACTTTTGAAAACCGACAATCATCATATCTTGCCCTGACCGAACAATGTCTCCCAAATGTTGGTTGTTCACTTGCTTAGAATTATGGTTTATATCGTGAGCATTGTCGTATATTGCAAAAGTAACGTACATTAAAGAAGTGATCTTCGTGATGATGTATTAACTAGATGCATGTAAGTATGAACGTTACGGGAGTAATCGAGCCCAAAGGCAGGCGTGATAAACACAATGAGTATGGAGGCAACTCCCTCACTAGAGCTGAGTGCTGGATGATCTCAGCGACGTCCGCATTCAGTACGCCGCTTCTATAATAACCTCGGGCCTGGAGGACGCTCGGTTCGAATTCGTGAGAGCGCTGATTTCGGTTTCCAAGAGGCGAGGCGATAAAAGCGACGTCTTGAGATGGCGGAAACTGCTCCTGCTCAACCACCAGCTGCGGCTACTTCAGCGCCTAAAAGCCCCAAGAAGAAGCGCGCCGCTCCAAAGGCCAAGAAGGTCGGCCCCAGCGTGTCCGAGCTCATCCTCAAGGCTCTGGCCAGCAGCAAGGAGAGGAACGGCGTGTCTCTTCCTGCGCTCAAAAAGTCGCTTGCTGCCGGAGGATACGACGTGGAGAAGAACAATGCCCGCGTGAAGTTGGCCATCAAGAAGCTCGTGGCCAAAGACGCCGTGGCGCAAGTGAAGGGCAGCGGCGCGTCTGGCTCTTTCAAACTCAACAAGGAAAAGGCTGCCGCAAAGGCGAAGCCCAAGTCGTCAACGGCAAAGCCCGCAGCTAAAAAGCCCGCGGCAGCCAAGAAGGTGAAGAAGCCCGCGGCAGCCAAGAAGACCGCGCCCAAGAAGTCTCCCAAGAAAGCAAAGAAGCCCGCGGCTGCCAAGGCGGCCAAGAGCCCCAAAAAGGTGAAGTCGGCTGTTAAGCCCAAGAAGGCGGCGAAGAGCCCAGCCAAGCCCAAGGCTGCGAAGCCCAAGGTCGCTAAGCCCAAGACCGTCAAGGCCAAGGCCGCCAAACCCAAGGTGGCCAAGCCCAAGAAGGCCGCGGCCAAGCCCAAGAAGACTGCGCCAAAGAAGTGAATCCGATGGGACGACCGACGCTCGATTCACTCCACCTCAACGGCTCTTTTCAGAGCCACCCACTTCGTTAAAAAAGTGAACCAGATGCTGCTGCGCTTCAATTAGTTCAAATTAACTGTAACATTTCACCCACTCGATGTGTTTTAAGCATTGATGTGATGGGAGTGATCGAGCCCGAAAGCAGGGATCACAAACACAGGCGAGGCGGGTGGCAGCTCCCTCACTCGAACTGAGTGCAGAGTAATCTCAGCGACGTCAGCATTCTCGCTGGCGATTCTAATCTAAATCCAGATTCAAAATCGATGCATTCTTGACGAACCTCCAATTTGATTATGTGTTGCACCTCTTCATTCCGTCATCATGCTACTGGTGCCAAATATGGAATTTAGTCTAAAAATGTATTGATTCCAGACAGCTTTACTCATTTGCCTTCATTCGCTCGTTCTCGCCTTTTCACTTTGTTTTTGTTTGTAAACATTGCGGTGCACCATCTAAACTTCTCTATTAAATTAATTTCTATACGTAAATATCGCATTGTTTGCAATGTCTTTCTTACTTTGGGAGAACTAGTTGGTGACGTTCACTCAACTATTGTGTGGATTATTCACAATCCACGTGCAATCTTGCAACAGATGGCGTTTCACTCCCTATCTGCAACAGATCGCGTTCTCGCGTGCGGGTGTGCCAATATCATTCCAGAGTGCTTCGAAGAAGGGCCATTGCCCAAAACGTCGCATATTATACATGTCAAGGAAGTGTTATTGACGACGGTGGAGGGTTTTCTTCGTCGCAGAGGTTAAAGGTGGAAGGTTTAAGGCGGAGCCATCGCGGAGGGCAGGGGTGGTCGGTGACGTCGCCACGCTTCGGGTATAAAGGCGGCTGCTGCTGCAAGCTGAGCGCGCAGTCTCTCGCGAGGAGCTTTGTCACAAGTAGTCGCAATGTCTGGACGCGGTAAAGGCGGTAAGGGGCTCGGCAAGGGAGGCGCAAAACGCCATCGCAAGGTGCTGCGCGACAACATCCAGGGCATCACCAAGCCCGCCATCCGCCGCCTCGCTCGCCGCGGCGGTGTGAAGCGCATCTCGGGCCTCATCTACGAGGAGACCCGCGGCGTCCTGAAGGTCTTCCTTGAGAACGTCATCCGCGACGCCGTCACCTACACGGAGCACGCCAAGCGCAAGACCGTCACCGCCATGGACGTGGTCTACGCCCTCAAGCGCCAGGGCCGCACTCTCTACGGCTTCGGAGGCTGAGCGCCCATCTCTCGCACACTAAGCCAACCCAAAGGCTCTTTTCAGAGCCACCCACCTCTTCGAAACTGCTTGCGCCAGTGTTGCCAAACACGCTCTGAATGGAGCACATGTCCTGGGTTGTTGTGAGCGTGCTGGACGTTCGCTTGTTGAGTTGGCGAATCTTCATCTGCTTCCACATGAATGAATGAAAGAAATCATGATATTCACGTCACATTAAACAAGGCGTAATTCTTGAACGCCTTAATACAGTACCCATTTCTGGTATTTTGCGTTAATTATTTCCAGCTGCAGCCGAATACGATATTACGTAGAGCATTTGGCGCCACAATCTTACAGCACACTCGTCCTAATTGACGGAGCGTGCCGGAATGCTAATCTCCACCTGTACAGCACAACAGCGAAGTTATTTTTCTCCACCGAGCGCTTGTATTTTTCCAAATTGCGTTCATAAAACGCCCGTGCGCCGTATTAGACGAGTGGTGAAACAATCCCTCGTAAGAAACAAAAAAACCCACGCTCAAAACACAATATACTGAATTGGGATTTCTAGTCATCCTTTTAAAACAAAGGCAATGCCATGGCTGCAATTCACTAATACACATGTTTGGACATTACATTGTGTTATATTCTCAAGTCCTTTTTGCAGTAAAATCGATATTAAAGTGAACATCGCGTCCGCGTTTCTCATTGGAGGCTGATGGAGAGGGACGGTACTAAAAGAGCCACTCAGCAGCGCCGCGCACTACGATCCTCTGATTTGCATCTCGCCTCCTATAAAAGGAGCTCAACGCGCGAGCGACATCCACATTCGCTTCCCGTCTGTTCTGACCTGAAGCTGCTGCCTACGACGCGTCGACATGCCCGATCCTCCCGCATCAAAGAGCGCTGGGCCGGCCAAGGTTCCTGCTCCCAAGAAGGGCTCCAAGAAGGCTGTGACCAAGGCTACGCGCAAGGATGGCAAGAAGCGACGCCACCGCAGGAAGGAGAGCTACGCCATTTACATCTACAAGGTGATGAAGCAGGTGCACCCCGATACCGGCATCTCGTCCAAGGCAATGAGCATCATGAACTCGTTCGTCAACGACATCTTCGAGCGCATCGCTTCCGAGGCGTCCCGCCTGGCGCACTACAACAAGCGCTCCACCATCACTTCTCGGGAGATCCAGACCGCAGTGCGACTGCTGCTCCCCGGCGAGCTGGCCAAGCACGCCGTGTCGGAGGGCACCAAGGCCGTCACCAAGTACACAAGCTCCAAGTGAAGCCTCGACTCCACCATTAATTACAAAGGCTCTTTTCAGAGCCACCCACCTCTCCGAACCTGCTTGTACCAGTCCTAGCAGGAGTACTAAACGAAACTTCCAACAAAGCCCCGGTTCACGCGGGGACATTGTTCGCTCATTGAGTGAAATGGAGAGATGGAACGCATTTTAACCTGTTTCCACGGGAATAAAAGCGATAACAATATTCATGGCACATTCACCAGCAGGCATTTCTTTGACGTGTTTGTCCATTGATTTCACCTGCAGCCCATTCAGATATTACATTGGATATTTGGTGCCAAAACCTTGCAATGCAATATATTTAATTCGTGGTTGTATTTTCGGGCAGGAACTAACATTTTGCACGTGTACATCTATGTAAAAGTAAGCGCCTAGCATGGATGACTCGTGCAGTATAATTGATGATCATCATCTCAATGCCAAGAGAATAGATATCTATCCCTGTGATCACCTCTTTTCGACATTTTTACGTATTACTGTTTCCAATGAAGTGCAGTTTTTCACACTTTATTTAGACCACGCAGAGCACTGTAAAGTTGTTTTCGGAAAGGTGTTTGCTTGAGAAAATAACATCCGTTAAGGACATCGACCGCGCTCAAACGGAACTACTGCATCGTGATGCGGCATTCTGCAATGCTCCAAAGTGAGAACATTTCGTTGATGAAGAAGAGTTGACGACTCGAGATCATTGCACGCTGCCAACCAATCAGCACGCGCCCCTTCTTCGCACGTCACGACTCCGCTGACCAGTGAGCGCGCGCTCTGGGCTACATAAGCCGCCTTCTCCTCCCCGCCTGTGAGAATCTTTGCCCTCACCAAGCCATGGCTCGCACCAAGCAGACGGCTCGCAAGTCCACGGGCGGCAAGGCCCCCCGCAAGCAACTCGCCACCAAGGCGGCCCGAAAGAGCGCTCCGGCCACGGGCGGCGTCAAGAAGCCTCACCGCTACAGGCCCGGCACCGTCGCTCTGCGCGAGATCCGCCGCTACCAGAAGTCCACCGAGCTGCTCATCCGCAAACTGCCCTTCCAGCGCCTCGTCAGGGAGATCGCGCAGGACTTCAAGACCGACCTGCGCTTCCAGAGCTCCGCTGTCATGGCTCTGCAGGAGGCCAGCGAAGCGTACCTTGTCGCGCTCTTCGAGGACACCAACCTGTGCGCCATCCACGCCAAGCGCGTCACCATCATGCCCAAGGACATTCAGCTCGCCCGCCGCATTCGTGGCGAGCGCGCTTGAACGCCCAGCTCGGCCCTCAAAGCACAACACAAAGGCTCTTTTCAGAGCCACCACTTACTCGTGAGAAAGCTTCCATGTGTGTCCTTCAAAGTTCGGGTGCCGGAAACCTTCGTTTGCTGGTCACGGCTCTCACGAGTCGTCAGGCGTAAGCGACAATCAAGTTCATTTTCTATACCCCGCCGCTCATTCTGCAACATCACACGTTGGTGTTGTGTATTGTGGGGGCCGTTGGCCCCCGGGGTCCCTCCCGCCTGCATCCCCTATTCCGTTTACGTTACCCCACCTCCCTATTACTCGCTACGGTTTCGCCGGCATTCGAATGCGACGCCCCTACTGTTACAGCCTCGCGCCGCGCTCCCACGCTGCGAGCATACGTGCGCACATCATCGTCAATCAAACGCCGTGCTCGCAGTATAGCCCTGTGCGGCACGTTACCAATGCGCATCCGTATCCGACATGTAACGAACGTATGCACACACACACACGCCGCTCCGTGCACTCCAACTCCACACCAACTACGCAAGTTATGATCGCGCACCTGTATCACACACGGAGTGAACACACGCGACACCCACTCTTGCGCCGCTCTGCGCAGCGCTCGCCGTCTGCTGGCCGCTTGCGTTATGATCGCGCACCTGGGGTACGCCTATTACGCACGCCGCGAGCTTACGCACACACAGTACCACACGCGTTCCCACACGCAACCCGCGCGCTCAGCTCCGCGCAGCGCTCACTCACGTGGCGAACCACTGTGCACACAGCGCACCCACACGCTCACACTGCACGACAAGATCACGCGAGACCACGCTTCGCTATTAATGATTTATTATATGCCACTGTGGTGCCACAGCGACGGGGCCGCTCTGCCGAGCCAGGGAGCCGCCCGGCTTCCCCCACCGCACTGCCCCCAATCACCCGCCCCACATAAGCACACACCCGCACGCATCCCCCCCCCCCCCCCCCCCCCCCATAGAGCTGGAAGGGAAGGTTACCTGATCGACCGGTTTTTATCCGAGAGACCCTTATCGGGATTAATTCTCACGGTTTCCGGCGATCAGGGAATTGGATGACCTCCCCCGTGCTACGTGGTACCGCGGCGCTGCTGCCGGCCTTAATATGGTGTGGTCGCGGCGTGGGGCATTCGGCCACCGCGGTTGAGGCGCATTTCCCCCCACACACACCCCCACGAGTCGACGGGGCAAGCAGGGGAGGCACGGGACAGCATGAATAGCGGGGTCACAGGGGCTGTTGCGCATAGTCATGGAGGGTTGGGATAATTGCGCTTGAGCGCGCAAGCCCCATTGGTAGGAAGGGTAAGGGAGTAATTAGGATTTACGCCTTGCACGCAGCACACTGATTAGCATATCAACAGCGCCTGGGGACTGCCGTGCGCGGGCTTGGGGTGCACGAGCCCATTGTTCAGCGCAGCATCCCCTTTGGGAGGTAGGGAGGATAAATAGAGGAGCGCAGAGGGGAAATCGCTCTCTTACTCCAGCGCCAGGCGACCAGACGCAGCTCGGGCCACCGACCCGGACGTCCGTGCGACGCACCGAGGCACGCGGTTAACACAAGGATCAGCGGACCGCCGTGGACACTTAACAGTGAGTAAGAAGGGGAATTAGAATCATAGCCGATAAATAGGGAATAGGTACAGGTTTAGTGGAATAGGCCAGCCTCGTCGACTCACTGATTCAACATCAATTCGCAGGTGGCATATAATAAATCATTAATAGCGAAGCGTGGTCTCGCGTGATCTTGTCGTGCAGTGTGAGCGTGTGGGTGCGCTGTGTGCACAGTGGTTCGCCACGTGA